ATGTGACACCAGCCTCATAGCTGACCCTTAGTGGGTTTCCCAGGAGCAGTGCCCAAGCGGCCCGGTCTCTGACGACGCCTCCTGGTTAATACTCTGGTCAACCAGGCAGTTACCCTGCGATGATTTCGGGGTTCAATATCCCCGGTTCCCGATCAAGGGCCAGATTCACGAAGCAGTTACGAACGTGTACATCTTTTCTCAATCTTTGGCGGCTTTGGTTACATTTATTAAACAGTTTATAAGCATGAAAACTTGCCAATCAACTGTTGTTGTTATAGACAGCCTCCTGGTGCTTCGGAGCTCATTAACTGTTTAATGATTGTAAACAAAGCCGCCAAAGATTGAGAACAGATGTACAGGTAAGTGCTTGCGTAACTGCTTCGTGAATCTTCGCCTCCTGGTTGCTGGACTGGTCAACCAGGCTGTTCGAATGATAGCACAGTCAATCAGGTAGCCTTTGGGGGAGTTTAAAGGTCCCTCGCCGAAAAGGATCGGCTAATTATGTCCCTTGTATTTAGAGGAGGGTGTTGAAAATCTTGCGCTCTTAATGTTTATGGAATTGTCCTAAAAGTAATTTTAACACTCCTACTCTTCACTGGGACTATTGTGCCATACCTCCCAGTCCCAAGGGTAATTACTTCAATATTTAGGTTTGGAACCCGTCTCCAGGTGTAAATTATGTATGTCTTGCCTGCGCTTCGATGAGTTCAGTTTGTGGGATTTTAATGCCTCAGTAAGTTGTGTTTTACTGAATAGCTTCTGGCAGCAAACATTTGTACATGTTCTTCTGGTCAGCAGTATGTCTAGCTGTGAATGGGGTTGTTAGTGTGCAACAATATTCCGCCCTAGATAGCACTCAATCTTTTTTTTTGTTAATTTGGCGTCTCATGTTGACAGTATTGTTATCCTGCCCATCATTTTGATTGTGATTGCGGCCCAACCGGGCTGTGGCCTGATGGACCAAACTCTCACAAGTCAAGCCTGGCCTCGGGCCGGGCTTGGGGAGTAGAACAACTCCCAGAACCCCATCATGCAGGTATCAAGAAGGCTACTTTGTGTTCTTTAAATGTATAGCCTATTGACATAATTACTCCATCTTCATCCGTCCAGAAGTATAATTCACATTCCTCTTCACCTTTCCCTAAAGGAAAGAAGGTCTCTTCAATGAAGGAAAGAAGGCCCAGGTGATTGGAAAGTCTCGGTGTCTAGTCCGTCCACCTTCGTTCCGAAGTCTGCCTACGTTTGCACAGTTCAAGTACTCAGTCTTGTCACATACCTCCTGGGGAACGGTGAACAGTCGCCAATATGCACTCTTCCTTAGCTCTTAATGTTTTGCATCACAGGGCTTGCTCCTCGGCTCTTGATTACTTTTGTTGTTCCGCTAATCCAGGGTTTATAGTAGGAACCCGTGTTTTGTAGTTTCAAGACACGCTTCAAACCAACGATGTTATTTTATTATTATTATTTTCTTCCTCAGACGTGGCTACACATTTACAATGCTAACCAGCATATATACATTTGTTCTGTCCTCCATGGACAGGGTGAGAGATTTGTTAAACCTATAGTTCAGGGATTTTTTGAACAATCAACCCACACAGAAGGTGATTGTAGTGTTTTTAAAATGCTAATCTAACCTACTTACATAAATACATAGATACACAGATTTACGTCTGCCATACATAGTGTTCGATGTGCCTTTTACATAGTGTCATTAATGTGTTGACCAGACCACACACTAGAAGGTGAAGGGACGACGACGTTTCGGTCCGTCCTGGACCGTCAAGTCGATTGTCTTGAGAATGGTCCAGGACGGACCGAAACGTCGTCGTTCCTTCACCTTCTAGTGTGTGGTCTGATCAAAACATTAATGACACTATGTAAAAGACTCATCGAACACTATGTATGGCAGACGTAAATCTGCCAGTGAGATCAATTAGTAAGACACATTTGTCTCACTAATTGATGTTCACTCACTGAGATGAGTGAACACCTCGGTGTTCACTCACTGAGACAAATGTGCTCCAATGATCCTGCTAGTAGGATCACATTTGTCTCACTAATTCATTGTAAATATTTGCTATCTTGTGGTATTATAATCCATGTATGGGCCTGTTGGTGGGTATGGATAGGAGCTGCATCGTATGGGCCAATAGGCCTTCAGCATTTCTTGTGCGGCTCATATTTGTGTCCACCTAATTCCCATTCATTTGTTATTATACCTCGCCTCATTCCGCCATTCTCTCCTGCCTATTTATGTCCAATACTTGACCTGTAAAATCACTTCTTCTGAAGATGTATTAATATACGAAAGTACTTGAGGAAATTCCTGTTTCAATTTTCCTCCGTGGTCTGACACTGTCACCAATATCTGGATACATGGTCAATCTTGAATACAAGTCCAATATATCAGTGTTCCAGTATTCATATACAGTACAGTAGTAACAGAGTTCAGCATACCTCAGCCCAGGAGGGCGAAAGTCAGTCAATATGGGACATTCTACAATATAATGTTCAAGGAAGTGCATGTTTTCACTTTCACAAAGTTGACACATTGTGCACTCGACATTTGAGTTTTGAGAAAGCTGCCAGATACGTCTATATCCCAGGCGTATTCTGGCCACTATAACATCACATTGCTGAGTTCTTGCCTTTGCCCCTATTAGTTCCATGCGTGAATGTCTCCTCACGATATTTACTCAACGATGTAACTGGACGATCGTACAAATATCGACGTGATGGACAAACAAAGTAGAATTTGGTATTATTAATTTTATAGTTTGAAAAAAATACAGCTAAACCCTGAACTTAAATATTCCTAGGCCTAGCATAGCACATATATGTACTATATTAGGCCTGAGATACTTGCATTGGGATCAGGATGGTTAGGTTAGGTTTCATTTTGAACAAATAATTGAGAATATTCTCTAATTTTAAAATTATGCTGGAAGAATCGCATATCTACGGTTCATCCAGTAAGGTGTGCAGACTTTAGATTTAGCTACTCAGAACGAAGTGTCCATGTAGCACGGGCTATGGTGAGCCCGTAATTACCTTTAGGCTTGGCTTGGCTGTAAGTGCCTCTGGGTATTCACCCAACCTGCTGAAACACATCTCACCTAAAATAAAGCATGTCTAAAACTTTTCCATACCTAACTCGTGTGAGTTCTTTCACACGAGTTCAAAAAGCAAATCTCTAAATCAAAATGACGTACCACCGGATATCTCGGCCAGATATCCCAAGTTTGTTTACTGTAAGATGTTCGTGATTATAATCTTTCCACCGCCTCACGATGCATGGGTGTGGAGTGCAGGGTAAGCTTGGGGAGTGGAAGAACTCCCAGAACCTCATCCAGGTCCAGGTACCGCAAATGTAAATTGCTTAGCTTGGAGGCTTTTGTGGTCCAGTTCTTGAATCCATTGTTGATATATACATTAAACTATGTAATTAGCTATGTAATTATAATTACATAGCTAACTATGTAATTATATATTAAACTATGTAATTAGTTTATCAAGACTGTAAGTTGCAAAGCCATGTGAATTTTGAGGTTCATTTCCTGAGATGTTTCTATAACCTCTTCAACCACACTCAAAGGATGGGTATGGGATGCATAATAAGTGAACTAAACTAACTTTCAGTAGTCACATTATTTGGCGGTTAATGCTAATTCTGTTGTGTGTGGCTCTTCCCATTATATCAAGTTTTTTTTGCATGAAACAACATATAAAATTTAACATTATGAAAATGAGCATTTTAAATTTAAGCTGCTTTAATTATGTAGTAATGTAGTCAAAAGTGTATATTAAGGTGGGAGCGCGTGGTAGTGATGCTGTGTTGGAAGATGTGGCGTGGGATGAGGGTGGGAGGGAGGGAGGGTGGGGGGGGGGATGTTACATGAGCGGGTGCGGGAGGTGGTGCAGGATCATGACTGGGAGGGTGGTGTACTGGGCGCCAGGGTGGCTCCCCACGTTAGTTTGCTGGGTTCACATGGCTCAGTGTTACTCTGAAGCATGGCGAGCAGCCCGTCCTTATAAACAATGGCCAAATGCTTGTTAATCCACAGGCCAAACCCCCTGTTTATGAATGGGAAAAATACTTTATATGTGTAGCTCCATTTTTTTCTTAAACCGTGCTTTGCGCATGGCCATGCAATGGTGTTCATCCCTCTCAAAAGGGAGGGGAACGAGAAAAGCAAAATAATCCAATGGTTCAATAAGCAATGCAGGAAAGCAGAACTGGAAAAAGTAGTGACATAGTAATGGAGGGCAATAGAGGGGCACTTAGAGCCAGAAATTAACTCACCTGAATCTGGAGAGGAATCGAAGACGTAATTTGGAAACAACAATGTAGCAAAAGCTTGGGGAATATAACTCCCGGAACCCCATCAAGGTGCAAGGTATTATTTATAATTTTATTAAATTTAAGCACCAATGCTGGATGTTAGGCCAGTAACCTTTAACTATGCCCTAGAATTTTTTCCCATTCGTAATGATACACACAACTTGAGGAGTAGCTAGGCTACATGCAAATATTAAGAAACCAAAAATTGAAGAGGTTTTCTAACAAGTTAGTTCTTGAGAACAGGATATACAAAAGTAGCAAAAGAAGTGATGCAAGTGGTCAGTTTTAACAACAACTGGTACTGACGTGAATTTGTAGTGAAAGGAGGAAGGTTAAAGTTTCAATAACCTTAAGTGGGAACTAAACAAGTGGATACAGAGAGTATCTGGTCATTGGGTTGTGATTCCTATGTACTCGTGGACTGCAAAGAGTAATACAGTAGCTTCTGATGACGCTATAACAAAAATGCCTTGTCTCGGGCAGTTAAAAACGTGCAAAAATATGGAACGGGTCACTCATAATTAATACAATAGTTAGGTCTTAATGGCTTCAAAATACCAAACCTATGCAAGTGAATCATGGAATAGAAATTGTATTTTTTTGTCCCGGTAGTACCGAATTTGCTATATACCATATAACGTTGTATATTGTCTTTCAGGCAGGATCGTGCATTTTACCGGTACTGTAAGGCGCGAGCATGGGTAGCATCCAGGTGGACTTGGCTGCAGGCGCAGGTAGCAGACCTCGAATACAGAATCTTACAACAACATAAAATATACGGGTGAGTACCTGAACTTTAGTCTCCATTCAGATGTTTTTTATTGTTGCTGCTGGAGGTGGCTAGTTTATTGTGCACCTGATACTCATCCTGTGAGCGGTAGTGCAAAAAAGGATTACAGAGGGCACAAAAGGTCTCTATCAGACCTCAGTAGAGATTATTACATTAACAATTATAACCATCCTGCTCACCTTATAATGTAGTTCCAGTGTGTTCCTTTGATTAGTGTGCTGATATATTTCTTTATCATACATTATTGATGTATAAATCATTTTAAAAATAAAAACTGTGCTGTAAAAGGACACCACAAATCATGTCTGTAGATGGTTAGATGCAGTACTTAGTGGACTTCAGTTAATTAACTGAATTATATTGGTGAACCTGTATAATTATTTTATAGGTGAACCATATATCATTCCTAAATCATATGACCCCTGCCTAAAATTGGATCTAGAACAGTGCTCTCTCTATTAACAAAGAAAACAAATCACAGAATTACTCAAGCATTCCACTCTCACAAGAGTGACCAGTAAGACACAGAGAAATCACATTAACATGATACAGTACTGTATATTAAAGAACAAATCCACAGGAGCCTTGATGAGGGTTCAAACCACAGGAGCCTTGATCCTGTGATTGATCAGAAATTTTGATCCGCACAAACTTAAAAAAAAAATTACAAGATCAAAAGTGGACATGTTCAGGGAACCATTAGACAAGTACCTACAAGATGTGCTGGACCAACTGGGTTGTAATGAATATATTGGCCTGTGGGCTGCTTCTAGCAGTAACCTTTTGAACCAAGTTATTGCAAGTCAAGCCTGACCCCAGGCCTGGCTTGGAGAGAAGATCTCCCAGAACCTACTCCAGGTATACGGTCTTAATCATCCAGACAATTTAGTAAAGTATTCAACTACCAGACATCAACTTTACTGGATTCATGAAGATGTCAATTCCACCTTCATGGAAGTAGCAGAAATTCTGCAAAAAAAATAAAAACCCACTTCAGTTGATAGAAACTCTTGTGGTTGCCTGTTCAGACATTTCAGAGTTTTAAAGGAAAGATAACCGACACCAGCCCATCCTCCAAAAATGATAGTTCTTATAGCATCTATTTGGCCAAATGTACAAAAATGGACAGTTGGTCTCAAAGTTCATGTTTCACACTGTTGGATTACCCAAAATGGCATTCTTAAAAAAAAAATAGACCTAGAACTAAAGAACCTAACTTACCCTACCCTAAGGCCTAAATAAGCAGTCCTAGGCCTAATTACTGTATATGCTATCTGAAGTCTAATTTAGTACATGTGCTATACTAGGCCTAACTAATTTTTTTTTTGCTATACTAGGCCTAACAATATTTATTTTTTCTTTGCTGTCTGCAAAATGAAAGTACTGTACATAAAGTGAACTTTGTTAGCTGCAACGGTCAAATTTTGCATGTTCGACCAAATACTGTAATTGCTACAGTTACTATTAATTCAGGTGGATGTATTGCTGACACCTAGGTACTCGCCTAGTTGTGCTTACAGGGTTTGAGCTTCGGCTCTTTGGTCCCTACCTTACCTTTGGTCTCTCCTCTCAACTGTCAGTCAACTGGTGTACAGATTCCCGAACGTATTGGGCTCTATCGTAGCTACTGTACATTTAAAACTGTGTATGAAGGCTGCCTCCACCACATCACTGCCTAATGCATGATATGGAAATACAGATGAACAAACACGTCCAATTGTATTGGTGTAGGATAGAGATGAAAAATTTGCGAGCACAGGTCCATGCAAATTTATAATTCCAACAAAAATAAGAAATTAAGCAAAAAAAGAAACCCATTGTAATTTCCACTTTGGTTACCGGTACAGATCCAAAACAGTGTATAGTAAGATCGAACCAGGAGAAACAAACAAGGCATTTATTCGCAGCATGGCGACATTATGACTGTCCAGTATGTTGCTATGGGCAATCATGAAGGAAGTGGTGAATACGAATATAATTACCTAAAGAAATGGTGCAACATTTTAAATGCTGTACATATAAATGTTATTCCCAAATTTAGAAAGTTTCCACCTAGAATGAGATGCATATGTGGAGCTAGGAAATGTCCAAAATGTGGACTTCAAAATGCCGAAAATGGTAAAAGCTGTACGGTAGTGCACGTTGAGATGTTTTGGCCATGTTGACTGAATGGATAATAAAGTGGTGATAAGGCCATACTCAACGGAATACAGTATATGTATAGAAAGAGGGAGGCTAATATAATAAGTGAAGTTTGCACTTTGGCAAAGTACATGAGAAGTGGTACTGAATAACACTACACAGAATTAGTTTGAGGAAGCAAATGTTTGGCAAGTTTGATACACAGTATAACTCACAGGAAACACTTGACACAAAGTTGTAATGAGGTGGTAGGGTGCTACTGGGGATGTTTTTCTGAAGTGTGTCACTTCTGATTCTATATGATGGTTCACTGTGCCTTTAGAAAGGTTAGTGAATGGATGGGATATTCCTTTGGTGTTCTGTGTTTTTAACTTTCATTTTTCTATATAGAATTGTTCTTCTATTTCTTGTAGGCTAATCCCTCTCCCACCTTATGAGTGTGTAACTAATAAAAATAATTATCATTAAATTGAAGTTTAGTGATATTTTAAAGTAATTTTTAATCTTTACAAGTTTTAAAGGTTTGCAATGTTGTGTGTAAAAGACTGTTCACAATAGTTTGTGTTTTTAAATTATTTTTAATTACATTTTAACTGTTTTGAACAGTTTGAGGGATTAGACAAATTTGAAATGTACATATTTCTTATTTTCCACACTTTTCTACAGTACTGTATTAGGTTGTATATACTGTATATGATAGAGATAGAAAGAAGTCATTTAAGATTACATAATTTAATGAAAATATTTGTCATGAGGTAGATTGGAGGCAAGACTTTGATTTCCATGCTGCATTGCCTTAGTGCGATAGTCTTATAAAATATTATTACAATACTGTATTGGGGTTTCTCAGGCATGTGCGCAACACAAAAGGTGCAGTCCAGTTAGAAGAGGGGAGCCGGTGGAGAGGGATGACGATGCGTGATCCGGCCCATTTAGATGTCCACGACCCTGCCCTAACGTGCCTGGCTGCCCCCACCACTCGTACTGCTGTAAATGGTTACCATAGTCGTATTGAGGATGGTGTGGGCGGCAGTGTATCTGATGCATCTTTTGTGTCGGCTCGTACCCAAGGTCTTCGAACTATTAAAAGAAGACGTCTAGTGAGGGCAGGAGCTGGTCTCTGTGCCGGACTTAGACGAGGGGGCGGGGGAGGGCGTATTCCTGCTGTGCAGTGTAAATGTGTTCCGCCTCTTACATGTGTGCTATGCACACGACTTCAAGGCTTAGTTCCCCCTGCAGCCCCTCCAGATCCACACACACAACCAGCAAGTGAACGTCATGCCCGAGTTGACCCAACTTACCATCCAGTGCTCTCGCAACCTACTGGTAAGTAGCAATTTTCATTAAATTGCTCGTGGAAATTTGGGCTATTCTTTAAAAGAAATTACAGTACAATAATTTCAGCTATACATAGCTGGTTGCTATTTGATAAGCTTTTATTAAAAATATGCATTCAAAGAAATGCAAATGTAATATTAACAATAGTATACAAAATGAAAAGTTTAATATCTTTCAGATGTGTCACTGTCAGAAAGATTTGATGCTATGTTAAAAACAACAGATTGGCAGCGGCAAATTCTGACAGCAAAAACGATTCAACCTGTTCCTGTAGCAAGAAGTAATAGAGAAACCTCACATGTTGATAAGAAAAAGAAGAAGGATAAGGATCGCAAAAAAGATTATAAAAAACATAAAAAGGAAGGGAAAGGAAGAATTACTTTAAGTGAGTAACTGTGTACAGTACAGTACTGTATCTTTTTTTTTCGTATTCAGTTTTGTCCAAAATAGGCAAATTTGACCTTCATTGGCCAATGCAATGACTTCCTGCACGTAACTTTTTTATCTTAGAAGTTACGTGTAGAGGTTGCTTCAACATCATCATTTGATGTCTCATTCATTTACAACTCGTGAACTAATCAAGTTCTTTCTGATGTCTGTGACTTAATTGTCTTCAGTATCCATTGACATCCCCTCGTTTCACTATTTCTCATTTTAAACATTGCTTTTCTGGAGGCTCCAGACAGTGGCCTCCTGTAGCTAGCCACACTGAGATACACGCCTATAAAACACATCAGCCTCTGTAAGTTCTTAATAGCCTTAATAAAGACCAGATGTGCATAGAGCAGGCAATTCGTGGTGTCACTCACAGAAGAAACGAATCCCTAGAAATGAGGCAGAGCATGACACACACCTGCAGGGGGTCACATACACCCGCCTAGTAACAGCTGGCGACCACCATGTGGTAACACCACTGGAGCTGCCAGTTCCCCATGTCAACAATAATTAGTTCTTCGCTAGATGTCGGACATGTCTGACCATTCCACGCGTCTCAAACTTTGGACATTTGCCAAAGGACATTTATTTATACCAAATAATACACAAATTTCATTGCTTTATTGCATGTTCATTGGTGCATACATACCTATTGAAACATCATTACATGTATTTTTAGCTCATCTCTCTTTAAATAAATACAGTACCACATTAAAAGAAGTTGCCAAAAAATTACATCATGAACTTTTATTTGATTATTCGGTTTTTAGTTATCCAGAGATACAAATTGGTAAGGATAATCTAGTTCACTCTACATTTATATGTAGCATTCATCAGTTTTGCTTTTCATGTGTTTCCCCTCCATGGGGGATCCTTTGTTCAGTAATGTCTGTAATTAAAACCATCAAGAAATTGGATTTTACTCATCCCATTTGGCATTGTTACTGCCCGCCTCTAGGACGTTTTTTTTTATTGTTTGTCGTATTCTTCCTTTGGGTTCCTGCTGTTTGGTGGAGGATTGTAGATGACAACTACCACTATTCTTTTGTCCATTTTTACATACCATTGATAAAATCCTGTGGAATGGGTACCACTTTCATTGTTGTTATTGCAAAATTCTATTGTATTTGTCATGAGCACCAGTACTCTACCACTCACCAGTGATGTTCATTGTCTATAAACGATATACCAGAAGGAATCCAGGACTATATGGACATGTTTGCTGATGATGCTAAGTTACTAGGGAAGACAAGACACTTGGATGATTCTCATGCTCTTCAGAGTGACCTGAACAAAATAAGTGAATGGAGCAACACTTTGTAAATGGAATTTAGTGAGAAAAAAATGCCATGTTATGCAATGTGGAATTGGAGAAAATAGGCCACACACAATCTACATATGTGGAAAGACACTAAAGAACTGAGACAAAGAAAAAGAGCTAAGGATGGTTCTGATTAGTAGACTGCCACCAGAGGATCTTAAAAGGACATTGTGCGAGGAGCACATGTTATGCTTTCCAGTTCCAGAATCACTTTTAAATACATGGAAGGGGAAATATTAAAGAAATTGTTCATGACCTTTGTGAGTCCACTATGGTGAAATTGTTGCACATTAACAGCCCCATTCAGAGCTGGAGAAATTGCTGACCTGGAGAGCTTGCAAAGGGTCTACTGCTGGAATCTACTCCATAAATAGTCTAAATTATTGAGATCAATTAAAAGTTCTAAATCTTTATTCTCTTGAGCGCATGCGAGTGAGATGCATAATAATCTACACGTGGAAAATATGAGACTGACTGATTCCAAATCTGCACATGGAAATAACATCACTGAAACCAGCAGACATGGCAGGATATGCAAAATAGCCCCACTGAAACTATCGTACGCTGAAAGAGAACTCTATCGACATTAAGGCCCAAGACTTATCAGCTCTCTCCTGATACACATAAGAGGCATAATTGGCCGGCCTCTCTTGGTGTTAGAGAAAAACACTTCCAGAGAATACCTGATCAACCAGGCTATGATTCATACATTGGGCTGCAAGCATCCACATCCAATAGCCTGGTTGACTAGACGACCAACCAGTAGGCCTGGTCGGAGTCTGGGCTGTGGGGACACTGATCCCCCGGAACCTCCACAAGGTAGCGGGGGGATCAGCAGCTACCTTGAAATGATTGCAACATTTTGTTCATGCATCAAACTCCTCTACATCCATATAGAACTTCTGTAGTAAATCCATATTTGCATTATTCATGTAAAACTGAGAGAATAATGGTTTAAATAATTGTATGATAACCACATTACTCCTTGAATCATCCTATGATGATAATCACACTTTAAGGTTTAAAGTTTTTCAGCTAAAATTTTTCCCTTCTAAATTCTGTTGTGCCTCCCAATATTAATTTAGTTTCTCTCCAAATGCTCCTCTATTCATTTTCTAATTGTTTTTCCATAATATTAGGACTGCTTTTTTCAGATTTCCAGAAGGTTGCATTTCTCTTATGCTATGTTGAAAGCTGTAGCTAGAGAATAACATAATTCCTACATCGCCCTTCAGTAACCACACTAATAATAGTCTTGGCCTATTGCTTTTGTTACATATTGCTTCTTTAGATGCCTTTCTACCCTTCAGTGACTTCTATACTGCCTAGTGTTGATTCGGTCATTTGTCGTCTCCGCTCTTTAACTATTAATCTGGTTCCAGTTTGTTAATGGAGACCTTTCGATTCCTTGATTGGCTGTTATGAAGCTCTGTCTTTGTTTTTAGTGGGTCTGGAAGATTTAAGTATGTGGTCTCGTGTGCTTAAATTGAAGTATTTAAAGAATTTGCGCTTGTTATATATGTAATGTATATCATGTGTTATTTGAATTCCATGGGTATGTTCAATTGAGTTTTACACAAATGTCTTCTTTATTTTTCAGAACTTAAGAAGTCATTATTAACGGGAGAATTAGTAAGAGATGGAGAATTCAAAAGAAAAAGAATGTCGGCTCAGGAGGCTTTATGTAAGTTTAATTATTTTATGATTTAATTTTTTTTTTTTTAGTTTTCTGAAGTGTCTTTGAACTTGGTATTGATGTCTGTAGTGAGGGGAATTTAGTGATTTGGTCTGGGAAACCATCTACCCAAAATTTCTTCCCACTCAAAGGAAAAAATTAGTCTATTTTGATTATCTTTTGCTATTTTTTTCCCTTTTTTTATATCTGGGTTGATTTTCCCCTCAATATGAAAATGGGAAGTGAGTAATGACTATGAATGAATGATTCTTTTGAATAATTAATTACTTTATCATTCTATTATCTTTATCATTCATGATAATTGTGGTCTGCTCCAAACAACAACTTGTTGGACCAAGCTCTCAAAGTCAATCCTGGCCCAGGACCCAGTTTGGGGAGTAGAACAACTCTCAGAAACCCATCCAGGTACATTCCAGGTACTTTCATTGGCAGAAATATGAATTATAGAAATAGTTGCCTTGCAATGTTCATTTGTAAATAAAGACAGTCATAATTGTGACATTACATGCTGGGTCAGGTGATTGTTCTGGCCACATGTCTGGAATCAGCTGACCAGTGATAAACATGCTTAAGCCTTGGCATGTATAACAGATACTCACTTTAGAGGAAAACTTGCACTCGTGGAGTACAGGGAATAAGTCACAGTAACGTGCGTGGCTGAAACAAATACCCCGACCCACACACATGGACATCTTAAATATAGGAGGTGAACACTTATTGGTCATTATAATTCAATCTTAGTGATTTATTTATAATATATTCCTAACCTTTTAGTAGGATATGTTCAAAATATTTTAATTTCTTCTGAAGTAATCAATGTACTTTGACATTGGATTATTTTCCTGCTGACCACACATGATTTCAGCACCTGGTGACTTGGTACTGGATTATAATGTAAAGAAATATTGCAATATATTTAAAGATATTACAAAGGAATGTGGGTATAACATCAATATAATATTTTCTGCCTGTGAAACTCCTTAAAAATAATCACTTTAAGAAGATACTTTCTGCTCCAGTACATCACGTCAAACTTGCCTTGACTGACCATGATCAGTGGGACAAGTAGGGTCTAGTCTTTTTCTGTGTGCAGGTTTGGGACCAGCCCCTCAATTATTTTCCACGTGTAGATTATTATGTATCTCTCCCGCCTGTGCTCCAGGGAGTACAGATTTAGGCTTTTTAGTCGGTCCCAGTAATTTAGATGTTTTACTGAGTGGATTCTGGCAGTAAAGGATCTCTGCAGGCAGCAACTGACTGTTCTGTCCAGAAAGGCACTTTTCATAGGCACTCAAGGATGATTTTCCTGAATGCAAAATATTATTACTGTCTTTTCTCAAGTGGTTCAAGTGTCCATAGTGACGAGCGATTGATTCTAACCGGATCAGATTGTGCTTTTTGCATCTGGCATCCATTCCTTAAAGAGCCAGACTAGTGTGCTCTCACTGTAATTAGATTTGATTGTTGAATAATAATGCTGTCATTAAGCTTGAAAAAGCAGTACTGTGGATTGTTTTTCTACTGAAATTAATTTGATTAGTTATGGAGCAGTTGTATATTTTATGATTTTTGTTTTGCTTTCAATAAGTATTGTATTTTTATACATGCAAATGGTAGAATACTCATTTATGCACATTTTAATATTAAAAACAAAAACTTCTTTTTAATGTCAAAAGAAATATTTTATTAATATTAATTTAATCCATAAATCCAGTTTGATAGTAATTCTTTTATTTTCTGGAGGCCTCTAATAAATACTGAATAGGAATTGCTTCATTGCATCTGATCCTCCATTGTAATGTCGGTTACATTATTTTGAGTTGAGTTTTCCCTTGATTCTTGCATGGAATGCATTCTAGACAAATTTTGTGCAAATTAGTTGAAGTCAACTTGAGTTTATATGGAAAAAATAATGTGTTCAAGACACCTTCTTTAGTTGCCCTTTATTTTCCACTGACATTTAAACAGAATACTTAAATCATACAGAATTTCTAAGTAATCTCGCTTCCTTCAGCTACAAACATAATTTATAAAGAGCAATAATGTAGAGGAGGAGTGTTAGACTGGGATAAATTTTATACATTTACCTGTGTAAAGTGCCCATTTTCTAGTTTCTTAATCATATAATGTTTCTATTCTAGATTTAATATTACGTTTCATTTGTGTGTGGAAGTGTTGGGGGTTTCAGCAGGTATTAAGGAATGCCTGGAAGGTTCCATGATACAAAATGATTTAATAATTCACAATACATGCTCAAATTTATGATAAAAACAAATATGAATCATGCACTTTTTTTTATTTTGGTGTTAAAATATACCTTGCATTTTGCAACTGTTGCTTCATTTACATTTATGCAAACTGAGTGCTCACTATAATCAGTAGTACTGTACTGTTATTTACACATGGGAATATTTAATTTTATTTTGTGATTTAATTTTATCTAGCAATATTGTGGTGTAATATATTTTACAAAGCAGCTCCAGCTATGCTGTGTCATTTATGCTGCTGAGAGAATTCCAAAATTTGTTTTGGGTAGTTCAACATGTCCCATATACATAATCTTCACAGGTAATATTGTTAATTTTATAAGAATCAATTAATTGAAGTGGTAAACATTTTCAACGTGTAAAGTTTGAATTGTGCATGAATCATGTCAGACTTAGCTTAAAAAATGATTAGTAATAATTGTTTAATTATTTTCCCTAGTGACGATGAAGAGAGCACGGGTTGAGGATGATGACGATGCCAGCTCGGTGTACGGGAGTAGCCTCCACTCTTCCCCTTCAGCCAGTCCAGCACCCATTGACCGCTCGGCCCATAAAAGACACTCTTCGAGCTCCAACCAGAAAAATAAACAGGTGTTGATTATTCTCTTGATGTTATTTTCCTTATCTTAAGTAACAAATGCACTTATTCTGTCTCTCAAGCATAAAATATATTTTTAATGGAATATCATGAGTGAGTGAGTGAAGCAAGTCCTTAGTCGTTCAGCTATGATATTTTTAGGCTTGTTGGCTACACGTAGGAAAGTTTTATTGGATCTAAAAATTGACTAGCTGAGAATATTGTGCCCATATTTTCTGATACAGTCTTGGAATAAATAGGTACCTTATATGTGCAGTACAGTATGATAGAGTAGAGTAGATTGTAGTGTTATATTTATTTAACTGTAGTGCAGATAGTTATGAAGCGGAACAGTAGTGCGGGATTAAAATGTATACGAAGTGCATGTGGAAGATAGGGAAATCATTCTATATTAAGTAGAATTTCAAAAAATTATTAAAATGGGAGGGATTTAGAGGTTTATATACAAGAATCATATAAGAAAACCAATTCTGTAGTTAATGTTACACTACATGTAAATTCTTAAATTATAATTTGTGTGTCAAGAAAGATTATTTTATAAACATACATTGCTATAGTCAATTATAGTAACTGATTGAACATTCTGAATTTCGTTCTGTAATCTACTCGATTTCAGGTGCCTAGAGAAAGTTTCAAAATTCTTGAATGTTCAACCAGGTCCTCTGGCCTTCAAAACTGGTGCCTAGACCTGGTAAATGTGGTTATCTCTTGGCAGTAGAATCAAATGTCACACCAAGAATTAGCAGACATACACAACAGCTGACAAGGATGCCTCTCAAATTCCTTCTCACACTTCATACCCATTAGAATTTTTGTTTGTTTTTAATTAAGGTATGTTATAATGTTTTGTACATTGTAACAAAATTTTTTTTTAAATATTACTTTTTCCACTTGGATCATTGAAGATTCAAACTCAGGCCTTGAAAAGATGAAACCATAGGCAAATGCCGGGCAGTGGTACCCTGAGGTTGCAAACAGGTATAGTTTGCCAGTATCAGTGAGAGTAGAATACAGCTCTGGTCCTCCAGTATATCACCAGAACCCAGCATCATGATGTACAATAATGACTCTTTAAGATACAAGTCTCCTGCCTCCCAAAGTCATGTGTTTGACCCTTCCACAAGGATAGTCTCCCAGTAGTAATGAACAATGAGTAATGTACACTAATGTGGATGGTATAATGCGTAAATCATGAAACTACATGAAAAGGAATATATTCAACTACACATTGCAGTTCTAAAAATGAAACTGGCAACAATCATAGGTGATGCAAGCTTTCTGAAAGGTTACCAAGGGTTGAAAAAGGATAGAAGCAAGAGAAAGGAAGAGACAGCACTGCTATTGAAAATGCATTAAAGATTTGAAGTGCATTGCAGAGGTCACTAATCCACATGACGACTCAGGAGGACAATAATAGCATGAAATTTGAATCTCATGGTTGCTGGGTTGATTTCATTTTCCTAGATTTACTAAAGCATCTGTTAATGTTCCTCACTAAAGACTTGTGTGTAAGATGGAGATTCAAGCTCGGATAATTGGAAAGGCATTGAATTGAATAATGGATTGCTTTACATACAGGAAAGTGTTTGAGTCATAAAGGCTGGAAGGATGTGTTAAACAGGATACCTTAAGATTCAGTTCTATCCTCTTACTTTTCCTGACCTATGAGAGTGACCTACTCAGGAGAAGTGGACCCATACATGCTAATACTTGAAGATAGTACAAGAATAATGGGGAAAGTAAAAAGTACGAGGATTGCAGAGGGCTGCAGGAAGACATTACAAACTTTGATGTTTGGCCAGAAACATAAGTGTTAGACCAGTACTAGAACATGCAGCACTGGCATTGACTCTGCACCACCAATAACACACAAGGAAACGTAATGGTCAGAGTTTTGCAACAAGACCAGTACTGATCCTGAATTAAGAGGATTATGCTGCTGAAGACAGGTTAATGGAACTTCTTAACAGAGAAGAGAACTAGAGGGGCTATACTCTTTGGTTGCAAAGTAATGAGGAGAATGAACAAAGTTGTATCCAGTCGAGAAATATCAATCATGAGGAAACTGTCGAACATGATGGACGGATAAACAAGTGGAATGTATTGAAAAAAGATTTGGAAGCCATTCACAACTTCATCAGCACACAAAGCAAAAAACTCAATGTCAAAATATTGAAATGCACCTATTACTAATAGCTAGGAAGCTAGATTCAAAGAGCTAATCTTGCTCATGAGGACACTGATTGGTGCATTGAGCTAGGTTAGGGATGTGCCATAGTTAAGAGATTAGGGAAGGGTAAACAATCATATTGCTGAGAAACTGTTTTGAAACAAAATTGCTTAAAAGAAAGGTAAGCAGAACACTGAAAAGTATACTGTAGAAACAAAGATTATAATATAGAAGCAAAACAAAACTTATAATGTAAAAAAAATCAATGATTAAAAGTCAACAATGTAGACAAGAAGAGGAACATTATCTCAAGCCCAAGAATATAATTGAGAAGACTTGGAAAAAGCACGGGCAGTAGAGTAGTGAGGGAGACTTTGGGATTTAGGAAGGTCACAATGAGTACCTGCAAGCTAAAGTTAGAGAATTTAAAAGGTAGTTTGAAAATGACATAAAAGTTAAAAGCTAAAGAACAGCCAAGGTTGTTGCACAGTTATAAAGAAAGAAAATTGAAAGAAAAGGGACAAAATTATGAGATTCAGCAGTTATGATATGCTGGAGGTTTGGCAGTGTACATTGCTAGAATGTAATTCAAAAAGCTTGTAATACACAAGAAATATGTAATTACCTAAGTGTAGTTACAGGATGAGAGCTACACTCGTGGTGTCCCGTCTTCCCAGCACTCTGTCATATAACCCTTTGAAACTACTGACGGTTTTGGCCTCCACCACCACCTCGCTTAGCTTGTTCCAACTGTCTACCACTTTGTAAGAGAAAATTTTCTAATGTTTTTGCAGCACCTTTGTTTCCTTAGCTTGAGTCTGTGCCCTCTTGTTCTTGAAGTTCCAGGTCTCGGGAATTCTTCCCTATCAATTTTATCGAGTCCTGTTACTATTTTGTACATAGTGATCATATCGCCTCTTTTCTTCTATCTTCTAGTTTTGGTATGTTTAACGCCTCTAACCTCTCCTCGTAGCTCTTGCCCTTCAGTTCTGGAAGCCACTTAGTAGCATATCTTTGCACCCTTTCCAGTTTGTTGATATGCTTAAGATATGGGCACCATACAACTGCTGCATATTCTAGCCTAACAAAAAGGCCTGGCCTTACTATTAGAACACCTGGCCTGAGTGTGTCCTGGTGAATGTCCATTCTTAAGGTGTTCTGGCCTAACTGTTTGGTCTAACAAAAGTCGTGAACAATTTCTTTAGTATTTCACCATCCATGTATTTAAAAGCAATTCTGAAGTTAGAAAGCGTGGCATAGGCTCCTCACTCAATGTTCTTTATGTGGTCCTCAGGTGATAGTTTTCTATCTAAAACCACCCCAAGATCTCTTTCTTTATCAGAAGTCTTTCAAGATTTTCCGCATAATTTATAGGTTGTGTGGGGTCTATGTTCTCCTATTCCATATTCCATAACATGGCATTTATTTACATTAAATTCCATTTGTCAAGTGGTGCTTCATATCCAGATCTTCTTGAAGGGCATGACAATCATCTAAGTTTCTTATCCTTCCTATTATCTTAGCATCATCAGCAAACATACTCATATAATTCTGTATTCCATTTGGCAGATCATTTATGTAGACAATGAACATCACCAATGAAAGACCTGAACCCTGTGGTACTCCACTTGTGACATTTCTCCAGTCCGATACATTGCCTCTGATTACTGCCCTCATTTTTCTTTCAGTCAAAAAATTGTTCATCCGTGTTTGCTTACCTGTTACCCCTCCAATATGTTCCATTTTCTAGAACAACCTCATATGTGGAACTCTGTCTAAAGCCTTTTTTTAGGTCCAGATAGATGCAGTCAACCCAACCATCTCCTTCCTGTAAAATCTCTGTGGCTCGATCATAGAAACTGAGTAAATTCGATATATAGGAGCTTCCAGATCGAAAACCATACTGTTTGTCTGATATTATATAATTTCTCTCCAGGTGTTCTACCCATTTAGTTTTTATTATTTTTTCCAATATTTTGACTATTACACTTGTCAATGATACAAGTCTATAATTGAGGGGGTCTTCCCTGCTGTCACTTTTGTAGACTGGAACTATGTTAGCCTTTTTCCACACATCTGCTACGAATCCTGTACATAGGGATGCCTGAAAAATCAGCTGAAGTGGGAATGCTGAGCTCAGATGCACATTCTCTCAGAACCCATGGTGAAACTCCATCTGGGCCAACTGCTTTGTTCTTACTTAGCTCCAAGAGCATTTTTTTCACTTGGTCTCTAGACACCTCTATATACTCTATGATGTTCTCTGGAATTCTTATTGTGTCTGGTTCCCTGAAGATTTCATTTTGTACAAAACACACTTTGGAACTTTCTGTTTAATGTTTCACACATTTCCTTTTCATTTTCCGTACTCTATCTCCCATTTTCAACCTCTGAATATTATCCTTTACCTGCAGCTTGCTTTTAATGAATTTATAGATAAGGCCTGGATCTGATTTACATTTGTCTGTTATACCATTCTCAAAGTTCCTTACTGTCGTGTAGTTATTTCGGGCATCTTTGTATCTATCTGGAAGCACAACCGTTCAAATGATGGGAAGAGATTGCATACATGGCTGTAAACATAGGCACGAGGTTTAGCATGTTTCGTTTACAATGTTAGTGCAACCTACTAGTATTTGCTCGAGTGACTTCACAACCTGCATAAAGGAAGATTTTACCTCTGCATTTTAAAATTAGTAACAAATGTGATAACCTGCATAACTGAATCTAGGCTATTCAGATCCATTCAAATCATGAGCTGCCTAAATTGATGTGTTATCAAGGATCAGTGTCCGCTGTAGCCATGTCCCTGACCAGGGCCAC